GGTAGTGAGAGAGCCACAGACTTATGTTTATGGTACACCAGGACTGTAACAACTGCTATGGGATTAGGATACAGAGCAGCACTGCATGCAGAGGTCACAACTCCTCGGTGATTTAAAGATTCAGTCTTTCTCCGACTTAACTTAGAAAACCAATACAAGTCCTACCTTCATTAGAAAATATTTTTTTGACAGTATTTCAAAGCATGGTGATTAAATAACTATAGATCACAAGTGTAAAATCTAGAGTTCATCACCTAGCAAACTGAGGAATATATTTTTTTTTAATAACCTCTTAGTCAGATCAGCTTTGCATTCCTGGTGCTAAGTGATAACATATTTTGCGTTAGTGCACCAGGGATTTCTAACACCCTGCACCAACAGGTTAATTAACCCTTCCAAACAGCCTACAGAGCCACCTCACAAGGCTTTTGACAGTCCTAAACCAATAATACTACGCACTACCTTGACTCAAAGGCACAAATATGCTGTTTCACTATAGTGTTTCTCGTGAAAATTTAAAATGCCTTCAAAGAGTAGTACAGCAAACCTCACTTGAAGTCCAGCAGTCTCCTTGTTACCCAAAAAGACTCTGTGCCTTGAAAGAATCAGTCAGCTCAATGTAAGAAAAGGGATAAACCAAGAATTGAATGAGGCATTGCCTAATCTTGCCACTGGTATGTATCTGCATAGAACTGAGTGTTATTTCTGTTCCAACAGAATTTCAGCATCGATGCGAGATACTGGCTTTTTCCTGAGAGTGCAGTACAGGAGCTCCAATAATGAAAATATTTCATGTAGTTGTTTTCCTGATACAATATCAATTTACTTTGCTGTCTGTCATCTAGCAATGAGTTATTTAATGAGCTATGAATGTGCAAATGTATCAGAAAACATAAAAAAGTAAAATATAATGCTCCTTAGCCAATATTACATACAGTTAACAGAGTCAACTTCTCTTGTTCTTTGGACAGTACATATAGACATCCAGTACTCAGGCAGGCAATATATGCATCAGAACCATCCAAACAAGAAAACAAACACTGTCCAGCCTGCACCACAGTAAAATAGTACTTTGTAGTATAGAGACTTAACTAACCAATAATAACCAGTGTCATCTGCATTTCAAATCTCCAGTATATTAACCTACTTTGTTCCAAGTTCCACAGTCATTAAAATGCTCCATCAAAAGCAGTTCAGTTAATACTGGGTGAAACAACAGGACTTTTTAAAAAAACAGTGATTACAAAAATAAAAGCATGATTTCTTGATGGTCTCCCTGAATCACAGTCACCTAAATAAAGCTTCAATCCAGGAAAAGCTTAGCAGGAAAGCAATCATGCTTTTTTTTTTTTTTTTTTTTTTTTTTTTTTTTTTTTTTTTTGTATGTGTAAAAAAAGACCAGGAACTACAAGTAAATAGCAGCTGAGCAACAGATGAGGCACTAAGTGAAATCTGTTAGCAACTGCTAACAGCTTTGCTATTTTCTGTTGTGAAATTAAAAAAAAAAAAAAGTTAAAAACCAATGCAGTAGCAATTCCAATATGTTCAAAAATCTCAGATGCAAAAGACTAAAGCTCAGTGCTTGTACTACAGATAAATACTTGGGTTTGGTTTTAATATCTTGAAATGTTTGGTTACTGATTATGAAGCAGAAACAAGCCAATTCACATGGACATACTATCAAGATAAAACTTGTTATAGCTGTATATGTGACCCAGCAAGTATAGCACAAAAATCCCACCATAGACAAGTGTGACTTCCCAGCAGCTGCTTTAGCCTCAAATTCTACTTCCCTTTGTCCTTTACACCTGAGCCCTAGTCATTCACCAGAAAGTGCATGGGTCTTAATTAGCACTGAGCTTTCTGGCAAGATCTCAGAATATTTTCACTGTCCTTCTGGTCCTGGAGCTCTCACCACAGATGATCATTTCCTACTTATCTCAACCCAGTCTTGACATGGGTTCAGCAAGTCTGTTTCCTGTTTGAACACATCTACAGAGTACAGCAGAACTATGCAGGTACAGCTGGAACAGCTCTGAACAAAGCAGCCCACAAATTACAAACAGTATTAATGTATCAGTGTGGGGTTCCAGCTCTCCGGAGGATCAATTAGTTACATGGCTGCAGTCACTGGACTAGTTAAAAAATTCATGGCACTGCCCAGTTCCAGGGAGATACATCCTCTTCCCACTCCTGCCAAGATGCTTTCTTAACTTCTTTTCTCTTGGGTCTTTCTCTCCTGTCAGTCTGGCAGAGGCTCTGTACTTTATTCCTCATTTCGATAGTCTCCCACATGTGGCGATCACAGTACAACTACTACTGTATCTACAAAAAGCACACTACAGGTATCCTTCTCCATCCAGCTTACGCTCCCTTATGGTGTTTCCATTTCTAATGTCCCCTATGGCAGGTTCCCCTTCCAGTTCAAACTCAGCACGTCAAAAACTCACCTCATCTCTGTTTCTAAATAGTTCTATCTACTTCTTTCTTTATTAAGCTACCAAGAATTAGTAGTCACCTTGCCTGCTGCAGAAACTCGCAACTTTGTGGTATTCAGCTTTTCTCTTTCCTTCCACAGATGTTCTACCAATAAAACATGTCAGTTTTATCTCCACAATGTCAGAAAAAAAAAAATCTGCCTGTTACTTTCCATCCGTGCTGTTAAAATACTCGATCATTCAAACCTTCTTACTGCAGTCTCCTCCTTGCTAGCCCTTCTCACATTCACTCCTCACATCAGTGCAAAACTCCAGTTGGAAAAATACCTTTTGAATCTAGTATTTAGTCAGTATTTGATCCCTTCTAAATTCCCATATTAGTTTCCTGTTATTTATTTTAAAATCATTCAGACTAGTTGTTTTTGTTTTTCATGTCATCTACAGCAGTTTCTCCCTGAAAAAATATCAGCCTGGTTTCGCTGATCTTGAGCAGGACCATAGCGTCCCCAATTCTTCTGTAAACTCACAGATTGCTCTTGTTCAGTCTTTACAGGTTATTACACTTCTTTCACCTTTATCACAGCTGGGATTCCCTAGGACTTTCACCTTCTCAGGAATAATTTTTTTTTCAAGAGCAATTTTTATAAATTTAGGAAGAAACACTGACAAGGACACAGAACCTCTGAAAACCTCCAAACTGAACCGTTAGCTCTTACAAACATCTCCTCCTCTGTTCGTTATAACCTGTTGCTTCCATATTTGTGGCTTTGTAGAGATTTTCAATGGTGTGGGATAGAAATTCCCATTCTGTGCTGCCATACAGATAAATAAAAGCTATTAACAACTACTGTCTGCTGGGAAGACTATCAATCTAAATAAAAAGCAAGCTTATGAAAAGAACAGATGTATAACACTTGTGTACAACCAAAATATATTCTGAAAAAGGAAATCACTAAGAATGGCAACCTATTGTTCTCAGCTTTGCATATTGATCATTAGCAGATTTTTTTTTTGTCAACTAAAATCACTTGTTTGGGTTCTGATGTTATCCCATGTTCTTTCTGGTTCAGGCATCACACCCCGTAAGTAATACTTTTGCACTTCAAACTTCGAATCTGCCAGTGATACATGAAACAGAATACTTATGCTTTTGTCAGACCTCTATGTCATTCTTCTCCTCTTCCAACAGCACCGTTCACAAAGAGTTAAAAAGAAGAAAGAAAATAGACATAAAGCTTAAGATACACGCCACCCTCCTAATTATTCAGTGTTTTGACTAGTGTTCCATGTTAAGCCCTCTTTCTTTAAACACTATGAACACAAATGCATGTGTGATGCACAGGTGTATGTGCCTCCTCAGCATTCCTGAAGAGCCCCATTTGGATGCAGACTGGTATGCCCACACACCTTCATCTTACAAACTCTAACTGCTGAAATCATGCAAATTTGGCACATAAGCATGCCTGTATATTTTTGACAATATCTCTACAGTGTTCAGAAATGATAAGACAATTTTGAGGATTCCTATTGATGACACATGGAAGAAAGCCAGCTAAAACCTTCCATGTCAACACAATACAACCCATTTGACTCCAGAGGACATATCAACAGAAAGCTGCAATGTGAGTTCATATATCAACATCCTAATGAATATAATTGTAAATTAATAATGTTGCAGCTGAATTTCTTAGATTACCAGTTAAATGCATCTTTGTCTAAGCAATGATTGTTGGTACGTATACAGCGTGCTAAGAAATACCAGTAGCCTCCTAATTAAGTGTTCAGTGCTACAAGTAACCACGTGGTCATACAGTCTAACCTCCTCCAGCTGACCATTAAATTTTATTTGCATTCTCTATATTAATGGCAAAGATCTACTTAAATGGAAACACTTCAACCCCCAATAGAGTAAACAGGTACCAGAGGCAGGGGTGACAGCAACCAGAGTGCCTACAAGAAAATGGCCTGAAGAACTTTGTCTGATCTCTGATGATTCCAGAGATGCAAACCCAACCAATGGCCATGGAAGAAATCCAAACATTTGCAAGTTGGGAAGGGAGGATGGTGACCTTTTGTCCACTGCAGGCAATGGCTGAAGCTGTGAAGCACAGATTTTATCATAGCTAGTGGTTTTCAACAACTGCAAATGTTACTGGACTGTTTACGGTAACATAAGCAATCCTGCTCTCTCCAAAGCTTGTGAAGGAAGCAGATAAGCAAAGAAGGCGAAGGTCTGAGCGTGGGAGTGGGTCGTGCATTACTCAGAAATATTCCCCACAAAGCCTTCCCCACCGACACACGCTTGTTTTTAGCATGAAACCTTGAATCTTTTCTGACATATGGGAATGAATTTCAAAGGCACAAAAAGACATTTTGTCTGCCAAATGTCTTCTGCCTCAGCTACAAGTTTGGTGTAAAAGTATAAACTGCTTTCTTTTTAAATAACATAAACATTATTTTGAGTCCAAGTGAAATAATTTTTCCACTACTTCATGAGAGTATCCGTTGTTTCCCACATTATAATGAGAATGGGTGGCTGTTTTGCCTTGCAAAATGTCTTACCTCAACATGACACCAAAGCCTTTCTTCTTTTTCCTTTCTGGATCTTCATTTTCTTCCTTCCTTTTCTTCTCCTTGATTTTAGCTTTGCCCTTTTCCTTTTTCTTCTCTTTATCTCTATTTTTTTTGTCCTTTTTTGCTTTGGTTTCTGCATCTTCTATTTCAGGGTTCCCCGGAGGGGCAGATTCCATGTTCTGAGCTTCTTGACCAGAGTGAGAGCTCTTATCAGAGAAACCATCTGCACAGAATGAAAAAGAATCGGTGAGGATGGCTAGGGGCCACCAAAATGCAAACGCATGAAATACAGCATGAGTATCTACAGAGTGTTCAAATGACTCATGACACTTACTCATTTAATTGAGTAATTTAAAAAGCAGACTAAACATATCTAGTGAATTCAAGCAGATTTCTATTGTAAATTAAATACAGAGTTAATTTAGTGACTTGTTGTCTAGTTATTATTCCTGATACAAAAATCCTGACATGGTAAAACACTATTCTATTTGAAATCTAGCTTGTTAACCTCCATCAGCTTGAGAAAACTGACATACTGGGATGCAAACACTGTGTGCTTACTTCAACAAGTGATTCTGGCAACTGACATAACCAATCTATGTCACAAAATTATTTCATTCACTCCCTGGAATCTTTCTATTTTAATGGCTGAAAAAGAAATAGATAAACTGTTCTGTCTGGTTGGAGAAGAGCTGTGTTGTTCCTATTTGGGGGGCTCAGGATCCAAGCACAGTCTTATGCTTCATGCTAAAGGCGACATATTTCCAGACTGGGGTCTGTAAGCCCATGGTGACAGAATGAGCAGCAGGGTGCTATCAATACACTCTGCCTTGTCTATAACTGGAAACAAATTTCCTGGTTGGAGAAGCGGGAATTGTAGACAGCTCTATAAAATGAGCAAGATAATTTTTAATGTAATCTGAAGAAGGCAGCTGCTTCTTGAAGTTGAAAAATATAATTATTTAAGGATTGAGTTCTAAATCCTCCAACTCACCCCTGCCCCAGAGGAGATCAGTGAAAGACTTTGCACTAAACCCAGTCAAGGTTGGACGTGGTACAGCAAAGACAGCTCTATTCAGTGGAAGACATGAGCAGCTTTTAAAATGTGATCAACTTCAATTGGACTAAATCACTTGCTTATGTGCTTTATTGACTTGGCCCTCAGCAGTGCTGAGTGAAGGTGGCTTCCTCAGTAAGTGCCATTTAGCAACATACCCTCTTCTCCATCTTCAGGTCCATCATAAGACTTGTCAATGGCAGCTCGGAAACTCTCATTACATCCCCGACCACGAACCACGTGAGGCCTGGGTCTGTGAAAAGGCAGTTCGTTCTTCCTAACTTCAGCCACAGCAGTCTGAAGACTCTCGAGAGAACTGGACTTCTTTAGTCCCAGAGTAGGACCAAAGTCTTTGCCAGATGAGTCTGGAAAACAAATAGTTACGTTTTTATACCCAAAAAGCACACAGAGAAATGAAACTAGTCAGACACATTTAAGTGTGTACTTTATTACTTGGGGCTTTTGAAATAGTATGCAATCAATGTAATTTGTTCTAAAAATAACATCAAGTTAAACCTAGTTCAGTAGATATCCCCACTGAAACTTAGAGGGAATGGCACACAATTTACAGATCTGACAACAGTGATGGACAGTAGCTGGCTTGCTCTGTGTCACTTTAAAGCCTGCACCAGTGACAAGGATGGGGCTGCTTCTTCCTCCTCTGACAGCGATGTCCAGCTGGACACTGCTAACAGTCTCAAGGAGAACATTATTATCCTTAGAATCACAAACACTGCTACACAACGAGAGTTTTGGGTTTTAGAGTGAGTCAGGTTGTATGAATGGTTGATATTTTCAAACTAATTTCTCCTGTGAGATTATTAGTTCTCTCATAGTCTTATCCAACCTCCTTCTTCAAGCTCAAAGTGGTGCTCTATTATCAGCATACACAGCAGGTTTTTTAAGAAACAAATATTTCCAACAAAGTACAAGTTAACAAACATGATGTTGCTGCCTCTTGTTTACAGGCATAAGAAAGCACTTCATACCAAAAAAAAGCAAATACCTTCCCAAATCTCTCAAACCTTTCCTCTCTTTGAATGCTTGACTATCTGACCTCAGAAAGGCTTTATTTTGTGGTAGCATTAGTGTTAATTAGTATTAATATTATAGTAGAATAGGTCAAGAAAAAATTTCAATGAATACATGCATACCAAACAGTGAAGAAATTCACAGCTTAATTTAAAAGCCTTTGTAGCACCTACTTAATTTTTGTATGGCAGACCGGTAAATGTGACATACAGACACCAAGGAAGAGACATTGCCTTGCAATGTGCCTTCTGTCTTTGAGAACATAAATGCTTTTATTTTCAACTTTTAAGTGATATTAGTGTAAGCAACAGGAGGATATAAGAACACAAGACATTCACATTCATGTCCATATACTGTCATGCCTATGTTGCCTAAAACTGTGAATATAGAACTTATCGACACCAATTTGATGCAGATAAGCAGACACTTCTTTATTGACAGCCGAGTGCGTGAGTGAGTGCTCTCACTAACAATGCACACCATGCACCAAAATAATACATCTTATATAGAACTTGCTCATACATATTCATTAAGTGTTCATGCATAAACATATATTTTCCTGGAAATCATCAACATACTCTCCTCCTATTTCTGATTTTGCGCAGTAAATGTTAGAAATGTCTAGAAATGGGTCTGGGGTGTAGTGTGAGTAGGTGGTCCATAAGTTGGTGGTTGCAATCTCCCCCTGCCGGAATTATCTTCTGATTAAGTTCACAGTTTCTTGGCAGGTAACTATGAGTTGCTTCATTTGACTCTTCCCAGTTCCCATTAATTCTAAATTCTGACATCTTATGCATTCCTCTAGGTGATAAAATACTCCTATAAGTAAATAGTGTATCCAAATTATCTTGAATCTTATGCCTGTTATCTAAGTTCTAAACATTCCTACTAGATGATTTTGACCAATTCCTTCAGCCTTGGTACAGGGCTGTACAGAGGATTTCATAGTAGCTATCGGTTGTTGGTTGAATGTGCAAACTGCAATGGATATACAATTTCTACTAAAATATTTCTTATTATTCTACATTTCTATTAAAATCAAACACTATTAAAAATAACTAATGGTACATCAGTAACATTTATCAGTAACACCTGAAGTGATTCAAGGATGACAGAAAAGACAGGTATGTTAGGATTGTATGCTGTGATTTTAGCAATCCTAGAAAAGAGGTATTTCTGAACAAAACAGTGCAATCAGTGAATTCTTAAAAGGAAAAAATAAAGCAAAGAATCGGCACCAAATAGAGACTAATCAGTAGCATCTACATAAAGCAATTTACACTTCGATTACCTGCAGACTGACACGTAGCTGCAAATAAAGTGGGGTGTGAGGGGTGTGTGTGGAGACAAGTTTAAGGGAAGCTTGGCTGCTCCCTCACACCGCGCCCATTATTGCCAAATTAGCAAGTGGTAAAATGGAGTTAGAGCAATGACTTGCATACAACAGAAAGGTGCTTAAAATCACTAAAACCCACCGCATTAGTAAGAGGCACTGTGGTGCCTATCTCAGGCTGAGAAGGAACAAAAACAAGGGAAGTGTAATCACTGTAAAAGGCAGCAAAGTGAAAGCCACTCTGATCAGCGGAGAAAAAGCTTTCTTGGTTTTCAGTCAGAAAAGCAGCTGTGCTGGTTGCTTTCGAAGAGCGGGCACAGCGGTAATTCTGGCCAAGCGCGGGTGCTGCAGCGGCCCGGAGCAAGCGGAGCTCTGCCAGGCTGGCTCGCAGGCCTAAGCCGAGGCCTGCCTGGGCGGAGGTGGGCGAAGGCGTGCCGGGGGCTATGGCTGTGGGCCGCTGTGGGCCAGTGCGTGGCCCACGGGGCCTGTGGGGACGGGCACCCCTGGGGAGGGGCATCCCCTGGGGGTGCTTTAGGGGCAACTACAGCGCCTGGAAGGGAGCCGTGGCCAGGGTGAGGGGCTGCCGACCAGCGGCACTCGCCGCTCGGGCAGGTTGAGTAGCCAGGGCTGACTCCCAGGCAGCTGCAGCCCCCCAGCCACCTGAAACTGCACTGTCAAAAGCCAGCGCTAAGGCGTTTCTGTGCGCACCCCGGCACAAGCTGTACTACATTAAAGTAGTGCCCCAAGCTGTATTACCTGAAAAAAAAAGTCTCAGGTTAAATGCCGCTTAGAGCCTGTCTTACATAAAGCTAACCCGATTCCTCAGACCGGAAGACTACTCTTAAGGTATTAAGGCCATTCCTAAGAAAATCCAAGCCAATACCTAAGGCTTGGAGCGACACACTCTTAATGTCACATGCACCAGAAAACAAGCTGTCTGCTCTGCCTCGCCGCAGTTTTCCCTGCACACACTGTGATGCAGTTTCCCCTGCACCTTGTCACATACTATCTAGCTCAGTCAGGGTCACCAAGAAAAGTTTCTTTGACCAATACTTGCCTTCATTTCATGGGAAACTGAAATGCTGGGGTTTCAACCCCAAGCCCCAAATGAAGGCTGACATATGGGTGATTCCCACAGCCCTTCACCAAGGGGGGTGAGTTTGCCTTCAGGCTTCCCCCCAGGGTGGTGCCGGCCTGGCAGGGAGAGCCGTTGGGTAAAGGAGCCCCAGGGGTCCCGCGTTCAGTGAACAAAGGTCGGGCGTCCCACGGAGGGATAAAAGCTGGGACCCCTGGCAGGAGGGGCAGTGTCTGTCTGTGAGGTGGGTGCCCTGTGCAGAGTTCCCTGTTGGGGAAGGATCTCCCGCCTCCCTGGGGCTGGGCTCCACTCAGGTCTGGCTGCTGTAAACACGGGCTGTGTAGAGATTCAGTGTGTGGCTTCCTTGGTCTTGTGTTTGGCTTGTTGACTCTCCGGTCCCTTCTATGGCAGACTGCATTTCACCATTGATTCCACCCGTTGTTGGTCGTGCGGTGTCGTTGTTGGGGTCAGTGGGATTGATGTCGATCATGTATAACCTGACTGACTTGTTTGTACCCCCAGTGATCACCCATGTAGTGACCCTGTTGTACCAAATACAATCTGGTTATTGGTTCATCTTTATGCTGGCTGGGTCCTTTATGCTAGGACTGATAACTGGCAAAACGGAAACGCAGACTTACTAGCAAAGTATGTTTCTTCCTGTAGAAATAGTCTTTATTTTGTCCTAACATGAAAGTCCCCAAGGAATTAACTTTAGTAATAACTAGCAATAACTTGGGTTTTGATATTTTAAAGAGAATACTTAAGAGTAACCATGATGTAGTATTTTCAGTTTGCTACTAAAGAGAAGAAAAAAAGAAGCTAAATGGAGCACTCTTTAGCTAGCAAGTAAATTAAGAACACCCCTGCCTTGGAAAAACTGAGTATTTTTTTCTAACATCCCCAACAGAAATAGAACAGGCTTGTGGTCATTTCATTGCCTAACATCACCAAATAATGGGTTACCTTAAAGGACAGTATAAAATGACAAAGATTAACTGTATTTCTCCCTTACTGGCAAAGTTAAATTTAATCTGTGATTTTCCTGTTCTCCACCATTTAAAAGGTGTCCTCATGTATTTGAAAACTTACTGAGAACCTTTAGTAACAGATTGATATTAAGCATTTAGTTGCCCCTTTTTAAGACTAATAATTTAGTCTGCAATTTCACTGGCAACATGGGAAGTTTCTCACTGTAACCATCAAAATCCAGATGTGAAGAAGCACCTGAACCCAGGTGAAAAATAATTGCATTTTTTCTCATTGATGAGAGTAGTAGGAATGCAACCTCATTAAGAAGGGGGACACTAAGTCAAGGAGTTTACATCCTTGAACATGCTCACCAGGGTTTTCACTGAGAATATTTTTGCAATTCAGCTTTTATTCATTTTTTCTTTCATTGTAAGGCTGCAACAATCACGTATTAGCACACAACTACAGATACAGGAGCTGAGGAGCTTCCCTAAGCAGGGAGACCAGTCCCCTTGCTTTCACAGCCAGCTTCTGTTAATGGATGCTTTACAGAGAAACACAAAAGTGCCAGATCCCAACCAGCAAAATTTCTCTCCCCTGTCCCTGCCGCCTACCTTTTCTATTTCTGCAGACCTTCAGGACTGCCATAAGCCTGAAAACATGAACTTTTCCTCATGGGTTTTAAAAAAAAGCCCCAACCAACAGATAAACACCCCACCCCCCCCCTCATCTTTTACAAATTAACAGGCATTTCTGGGGGTGCGTGTGTATACATCTAGCCTTACCCAGATTTTGAACACAAAAACATAGTTTGGCAATGAGAAATTTAATTATTCACTGTGTAAAAATGTTTCTTTTTACGGATTTTGAATTCTTGAGTCCTCATTTTACTGCTTCTTGTAGTACAATGATAAAAAGTCAACTGAAGCATCCACACTCTTTTTTTTTGTTTT